CTTGTTCACACACTAGCGTGTGTGGGGGTGGGAGGTTGGTGGGGGTAGTTGAAGTTTCTCACTTCTCCCTGCCACTGAGTGTGATGTTTCTTGTGGCATCTCCATCTGCAGAAGGTGAAGAACCAGTGGCATCTACATTTACAGGCGATTATACAACTGTTAAAGCCATTCCCCATGTTTAGTGTACATGCCGTACAACATGTTTGAAATCGACAGGAGTAAAGTTGGACTTATGAACAAATCGACTTCCGAACAGACCTGGAACCTACCTCGTTCGTAAGTAAAGGAGTCCCTATAAACACAAAACCCCTCTCTCCCCACAGTGAAGGTTCGTTTTTATATTCACGTCAACCAACCTATACAGAAATCCGCCATGATCTTTAGCGAACGGAATATAATTAGGAAATCCCTTGGGAGCCCCCACACACAGAGCAGGCTTTGAGAAGACAAAGCAAGCAAGTCCTTCTTGTGTACACACCTTGTTATTGTTTGCGAGTCCTAGAAGTAACGTAGCAATGGATCAATGTGACTGGTGGCATTGGTAACACACGGACTGGTGGCGATTCCCCCCTGTGTCGAGCTAATTTCCCCATGCCAGGTGTGGCAGACACGTAAGTAACACAATCCGCACGCATTGTCCACAGGTCAGAACAATGAGTGGCTTCTTAAATTACGTGTACCGGCCAACTCCACAGGTTTATTTCACCCCAACTTGTCCCACCTGCTTTCCGGAGGCTGCAAATTCCAGGTTGTTTTATGAGTTGCACTTTGGGGCGTTCCATTCTTGCAGGGTCGGGGGGGGATGTTGATTGTCGAAGGAGAGAGATCCTAAGCCTTTGTGGCAGGGTTCATCCAAACAATATGCGTATAGATTCAGGCGGTCCACGAAGTTAATTATCGCGCGCCCGGCGAGCAACGTGACACCTGGCCATGTACGGATGTCACGTGTGAGAATCCCTCATCCATCGACTTGCGTTGACGGCACGATGGGTTGTCATCAAGCTATCCTGATGACCCAACAGACCGGGAGCAATTCTGGGCGCTTGCCATCAATACAGTGGCTAGGAGATGTTAACTGCCTCGCCTGGTGTGCAGGAGGCCGTGGGTTTGATCCCAACCCTGACGCTTGCTGCTGTAGATTTGGAGTGTGCGTGTCTCTCTCATCATCATCATGGTGGCTAGGAGATGTTAACTGCCTCGCCTGGTATGCAGGAGGCCGTGGGTTTGATCCCAACCCTGACGCCTGCTGCTGTAGATTTGGAGTGTGCGTGTCTCTCTCTCATCATCATCATGGTGGCTAGGAGATGTTAACTACCTCGCCTGGTGTGCAGGAGGCCGTGGGTTTGATCCCAACCCTGACGCCTGCTGCTGCTGTAGATTTGGAGTGTGCGTGTCTCTCTCCCCGTGGTCGTGTAACATTTTTCCGGGTCCTCCAGTTTTTCCGTGCACATTTAAGAAGCAACGTGCATTTAGAGTACTTGTCTGCTATACATTTCCACGTGATAAGCCACTTCGTGTGAGCTATCACGTTGTAATAGCCAGGTCGCTTCTGACAAAGAGCTATGTAGCTCAGTGGGCCTTACCTGGTAAAATAAAAAAAAGTTGAATAGTTTTCGTTTAATACCGGTGGCCTTCCCAGACTTGGTGTCTGTGAGCGCTGTGTCCAGCTCGTCGGTTGTGAGGGCCGCTTAAGAGGTGTTGTGTGTGCGTGGGGCAAGCTGTTGGCAGTGAGAGCATTAGCAGCTTTGATTTTACTGCGTGACAAACGGCTGTAAAAAAAAAATCTGTCGCTATTTATAGGTTTATGCCACTGATGTCGCTCACTCTAACCTGGTTTTTGGTTCCGAACGCAACGTGATCACAACGCATCGTTTGAGACGATCTGCGGTTGCACTTTCTCTCCATCTGTGACCGACCTGGTGTCTCTCCATCCGTGACTGACCCGGTGTCTCTCCATCCGTGACTGACACGGTGTCTCTCCATCCGTGACCGACACGGTGTCTCTCCATCCATTACTGACACGGTGTCTCTCCATCCGTGACCGACTCGGTGTCTCTCCATCCGTGACTGACCGGGTGTCTCTCCATCCGTGACTGACTCGGTGTCTCTCCATCCGTGACTGACCCGGTGTCTCTCCATCCATTACTGACCCGGTGTCTCTCCATCCGTGACCGACCCGGTGTCTCTCCATCCGTGACCGACCCGGTGTCTCTCCATCCGTGACTGACCCGGTGTCTCTACATCCGTGACCGACCCGGTGTCTCTACATCCGTGACTGACTCGGTGTCTCTCCATCCATGACCGACCCGGTGTCTCTCCATCCGTGACTGACCCGGTGTCTCTCCATCCGTGACTGACCCGGTGTCTCTACATCCGTGACCGACCCGGTGTCTCTCCATCCGTGACTGACCCGGTGTCTCTCCATCCGTGACTGACCCGGTGTCTCTCCATCCGTGACTGACCCGGTGTCTCTCCATCCATGACTGACACGGTGTCTCTCCATCCGTGACCGACCCGGTGTCTCTACATCCGTGACTGACTCGGTGTCTCTCCATCCGTGACTGACCCGGTGTCTCTCCATCCGTGACTGACCCGGTGTCTCTCCATCCGTGACCGACCCGGTGTCTCTCCATCCGTGACTGACCCGGTGTCTCTCCATCCGTGACTGACCTGGTGTCTCTCCATCCGTGACTGACCTGGTGTCTCTCCATCCGTGACTGACCCGGTGTTTCTGCACGACGTGTTGGACGGGGGGGGGGCTAATTGTATTAAAAGCGCAACGGCGAGCCAACTGATTGTGGGGCCCCCTGACTGAGAAGGGGAAATGACACTGCAGCAATGGGATAGAGAAAATGAGAAGATGTAATACAGGAATCTGAATAATTGTGTGTTTGTGTGTTGCACTTCTTTCGCACCGTACGTAGCCAACCGTGCTAATCAGAGGTGCGAGGTTTATTGGGCATAAATAACCTGCAGTTTTTGAGGTTAATGGCAATGCTAATAGCAGCATAATTACTGTTATACACGAATGACTTGAGGCTGAATGTAATGTGTTATAACATCACTCTTAATTGGAGCATAGGGTGCAGCACAGGCACTTGCGTGCATCGACTGTGCCATGTTGCACTCGGTGCTCGCCCGTGTGCTGCACCGCTGACGTGAGCATGGCCTGTTTGACACCCTGGTCTTAACAGATCAGTGGACAAAAGCGGTTGTTTGTCTACGTGTGTGTGTGTGTGCATAGTCACCACAAGTGATGAACATCTGAAACGTTTCTGAGCCTCCCCTAGGTCGACTCGGCCTCAAATGAGTACCTGGTGTGGTGTGTAAACATCGCCACTGGGGAGACTAAAGCGGTCGGGCGTGGCGCTGTTGTATATATTGGGTATTGAAAATTTTATGAAAATGCTAAAAATTAAATGAAATTTGGGAAAATGTGTAGTTGTCCAAAATTATGTTAATTGATGTAATTATATGCATAGATTATGATCATTAAGATGTAATTGTATTTTTGCGAATGTGTGCAATTATGCTAATGTATGCAGCTATGATAATTAGGCTCTACCTCGTTGTTGAGGGTAGTATTATCAATCGGGATAAGACAATTAGTTGTATGAAGTTATGCAGGTGTGCAAGTATGCTAGATTAAGCTCGGCTTCGTTGTCTAGGGTTGTATTATCAATCGGTATAATACAATTATTCTCGCTTCAACATTTACTGATTATGTATTAGTGTGTTTATATCAGGTCTCCAAATTCAAATCTCACCGCAGGATACAGTTCTTATAATTAAGATTTTTATGCATGAACTTAGGAAAGAAACACTCAAACACTTCTGTGTTAAGCAATTTTAATTTATTGGTGACCCCGGGCGGGCTGCTTTACATCAAATTGATGTTTGTTTGCACTCCCAACCCCTCTCTTAGTGGCGTCTGCTAAGGGAGGGGACGCACCTTTCATACGAATTCATGGCTATCATGTGTTTGTGTCAAATTGTTGGAACGGGGAGGCTCTGATTTCATGGAATACATATTATCTGGTCTTGTGTGTTTGACCTATTTTCTTGTACTTCTAATGAGTTACCCCAGGATTAATCTCTTGTGATTATTATTTGGTTTATGTTTAACCAAGATTTGTAATGTCATTAGATGTTACCTCCGGTATTTCAAGGGTTTTATTAACTTTTTGCTCCCTGTCTGCATCCAGGGATCCGTGCTTTTTATTCTCGAGGTCAGAGATATCGCTTAGTTTGGACTTAAGTTTTCGTGATTGCAGTAACTCATGTACTTTGGTTCTCTTGGTAAAGTCACGTAGATAGATACAATAAGAAATAATATTAGGAATACTGCAGTCTATAATGTCGACTTATAATTATAGCCAAGCTTCAACTTTTTCTGTACAAAAGAAAATATATCAGTTATAATGTCCGTTTGCCCTGTGCTCTGTGTCTGTGCCTGTGATTCTGAATATTTGTTTGCGAACTGTCCTTTGGCAATCTGGAGATTTTGCAGATAGTCGTTAACCTCCCTTTGCCCCGGAGTTTATTATTTAATGGCCTTTTACGACCTCCAGATGCTTGGTGCTTGTGGGAGGTGGCGGGTTCGAGGGAGCTTTATTTTCTTCTTTGGTTCTTTCGGTAAAGTCACGTACATTGAGAATAAAATAATAAATTGATAAAATATCAATTTATTATTTTTGATAAAATATCAATTTATTATTTTATTCTCATTCTACGTTTTTACCGAAAGAACCAAAGAAGATGAATCATTGCAGTCACGAAAGCTTTAAATCGGAGCCTTATTTATTTATTTTATCGATTATTACAAAAATGGCAGAATTATTTTTAATATTTTTTGGATAAAGGCCTATATATATACACAACAGTGCCGACCACCCACCACCTCGCGTGCCGAGGCGGCCATCATCTGTGAAACTCGCTGACAGCACTTTGCCTCGACCAGCCTGTTAAGGCCACGCGGGCGATATTTGTCTGCGCTGCAGGGTGCGGATGTGAACCGGCTGCTGGAGGCCGGGAGGCGGCCCCTTCACTACGCGGCAGACAGCGGGCAGCTTGACATTCTCAAGTTCCTGCTGTCCAACGGCGCGGACGTCAACGTAAGGCGGCGTCCGTCCCACGCGCCGTTTGTCGGGCCGCCGGCCTTCCAGCGGGTCGGCCCCACCGTCGACGCGTCCACTCGGGCCGGTCACGCGGCCGGCGACTCGGCCGTTCTGTGCCGAGCTGTTCGCTGAAGCGGGGCAGTTGGGCGTCGTCCCGTCATTTGTTAGCCACCGCCGCCAACAACAAGTCGCTCGTGTCCCCAGTGCCCGCTTACGTTTGTGACACGTCACGGCGGTCGGGCAATGAGCGAGGTTACGAGGTTAAAAACGACAAAATCTTTATGTCGACGTTCGTTGGTCACCCTCAACGGTCAGACAAGTCGTCGGTCATGCACAAAGCGTTATGAACAAAAACAATTCTCAAGAACTCTTCCAGTGACGCTCCTTCAAATAAGATACATCAGAGGTGGCGATATGGGCAATGGCCTCTTGTTTAAATGCATGCCTATGCAGGCCACCATACTTCAATAGGGATTACCGTTGGAACGGCTATTTTAATACACACAATAGACAGGAAGGACAAGATCAATGGGCTCGAATAATGCGCATGCATGATGTACGTTGGCTCGAGCACAGAAGCGTGGTCACCACGTCTACGCCTCGGGATAAGGAACGAAACAGGTGGAGGACTTCTCCACAAATCTGGCTGTCGTCGCCTGATGAAGCTAGTTGTAATTACTGGCGAAACGTCGTACTCGGATTGTAAATGTTGTGGCTTGGCTCTCCAACACACACCGGTGTGCTGTACTCGTGACGAATTGGCCACGTTCTGTTTACGTGACAACCCTTACGAGTTGGCTGTGTCGGGTGGTTGGCGGGTTTTAACGACACATTTATATACTTACGTGATCTAACTCAACAAGAACCTCTATTATGGCCTCTTCTTCATAGCACACGAGAAGGACATTGTGTCCAATTGTGTTTGTGCCACCACTGCCAATGCAGCAGCAGCAATCGCCAGCAAATGTCTCATCACCCAATTATTAAAGTCTTAATTCGATCACACAATTACTCGGTGTTAATCACACGATTGTCCGATGCGCATACCTCTAAAGATTAAGCTAATCTATCATCTGGCTTGTGAGCCAGTCTTTGGGTTAGATTGTGAGCCCGTATATATGAATAATATTTCATCCATTTAGTCAAATCAATTTGTCATCCAATTCCTCTTGTCAGGGGTTAGCAAGTTCATTACCAGTCGATCACATTCTCACGCAATCATTCGGTAATTCATTCGGTAATTTGTTCATCAATAATTCCGTCACACCGTGAGATTTTGAGTCGACCAATCATTGTCCAGTCGGCGAACAGATGCAGCAGTGATTTAGTCAATTTAAAAAAAAATTCTGTCCCAGTAAATAAATAAGTCCAGTGGTTCTGGTTAGTTATACATACATACACACAATCAATCATTTTGTTCTGAAGCTGCAAAGTTAATTTACCGGTCATCTAGCCGGAGAGGCAATTCAATTAAACAGTGAACTCATTATAAAGTAAATCAATGGCTCATTCAACCAGTCAACCGGAAATTAAGTTGGATAATCCATTAAATCAGTTCGTCATTGCAAAAGGTAAATTTCGTTTGGGCGCACAGGGGCAGAAAGGAGGGCGCTTATTTGCCATGATGGGAATCGCGGTTTTGTCCGCGCGTGCTCCGTGCCGGGCCTGCGCCGGTGTACGTACGTCGAACTGCCTCTCGCCGTACGTAGCCGCCGCGCTGACCGCGGGTGCGCTGGTGTTGCGATGCGCATTGAACACACGCATTGAACACACGCATTGAACACACGCATTGAACACGCGCATTGAACACGCGCATTGAACACGCGCATTGAACACACGCATTGAACACACGCACGTACGAATCGAGCGCGCGCACATGCACGCAGTGAACACACGCGCGCATCGACTGCGTGTACGTGGAACTTCTTTGGCACCGTACGTAGCCAACCGCGCTAATCGGGCGGTGATGTTGTGACGCGCGCACGTCGGAGGTGTGTGCAGGCGGTGGATAAGCACGGACTCACGCCTCTCCTCGCCTCCATTTACGAGGGGCACACCAGCTGCGTGAGCTTCCTCCTCTCGAAGGTACCGCCGTACCTGTGATGGATGTATGTACGTAATGACCGCGTCCGGCCCCTCTCTCAATCTCCCACCATTGTTGTCGTCGTCGTCCCAATCCCCCAGCAGCCCAAGCGACCCCTGACCCCCTGTGGGAGGGAGTGCAAAACCGTGGATGGCAACTTGTAACAGGCATCCAGTTCACCACTAAGAAAGCCGTCCCTGGTGTAGGCCAAACAGTTTCGAAGACAATGGCATTTATTATCAGAGCATGTTTTTTGCCGCAAGTACAATGGGTATCTGTTTGGTGTTTGAACATCTTAACACCTGTTTTAATGCCAATGTCCTTCACTCTAACCTCGTATCTCCTCCCCAATCCCTAGGGTGCAGACAAATCATTCCGAGGGCCAGATGGACTCAGTCCGCTTGAAGCAGCCGAGCGACAGGACATCAAAGCCTTGCTGCAGTAGCTTCCACATGCACGCGTTACCGCACACACACACACACGCACACACGCACACACGCACACACGCACACACACACGCACACGCACGCACGCATCGTCCGGTACGTGGGGGGTACTCGTACACACCGCACAACTCCTACACGCTATCGCATGGGGGCGGGGAGGTGGGCGTCGGTATGTTGTGTGACCTTTGCACCCTGCGTACGCACTCGCGCGCTAATGCACACCCCGGAATAAAGCGCTCGCACATTCACGCAACAACCAATACCCACCGCTGCGCATCGACGCGCGTGCGTGACTCGGGTCACAAAACGACACCTCGACTGCCGGGAGCGGTCGATGTTGGCGAAACGCCCCGGTTTTGACGGCCCCGGGTGTGGTTGCCGGAAGTGTGGCTGGCGAGGCGAGCGAGCGAGCGCTGTGATCGCCCGTGGTGACCCCTGTGTGTGCGAAAGGCCATGTGATTTTACTTTTAGCCACAGGGTTTTCGGAGAGCGTTGGGCTCCGTGAGCATGGTGTTTCCCCCCACCCACCCGTCCTGGCCCACCCGTCCTGGCCCACCCGCGTGTCATGCTCCCCTTAATAGGTATTCCCGAGCAGCAGCGCTTGGCCCCAAAGAGTAAATCAAGTCTTGGGCAGCAGCAGCAGCAGCAAGAAAGGGGGCAGACTTTGTCCATGTTTATACGCCTACTCACACGCGCGTGCAGACAGAGACAAAGATCCCCCGTATAGCCTTAAAAAAAACTAGAGGCAAGTGCTGTTAGCGAGCACCTATGAAGGCCGGCACGGCACACGAGGGAGTGGTTGGCCAGCACCACACTCCCTGTCCACACACCATTTCAGATATCCGTCACTGGTGTTTACCGTGAGCGTAACTGTGGTCGCCGAGTTTGTAGCGCAGTACGCTAACCACTGCACTACCGCTCTCCGCGCGCACACGCACGCCCGCACCCCGCTCCTCCCCATACTTCCATGCTCTGCGTTCCAAACAAAGTACAGTGCGTGAAGAAGATGGGGAGGAAAAATGCGGGCGCACATTCCCGCTCGCTTGCACAAACACGTCTTCTTCCTCCTCGGGTTTTAATGCTTTGCGTGAATACAGCTAACGTTCCCGCACTCCCTCTCTTATTCCTGAGGTTCTGCCCCCCCCCCCCCTACATAAGTCGCCGTTTCTCGAGCTTGGGTAAAGATCGATGCCTGGGGCCTACCCCCCAACTTGTCTTGTTATAGCCAATTACGGATTTCCATCGTAATCTCCCGCGCACACGCACGCACCCACGTGATGTTATGTTCGTGGCCCCACGAGGTTGATGATGGAAAAGCAAAAGTCGGATTGCATTAAAATTTGAACTGTTTTTTTGCGGTGCGTCTGTTGTTGTGCGTCCGCGAAGGGTTCCCGTCGCTCCCGTTTGCCTTGTTATTGGATGGAGGAGTTGAATCTAGGTGAACTTTGCTGATGGAATTTGCCTTTTAAAGTGTCGCTCTTCGATGAAACAAAAACAGACGGTGAACATAACCCAACTAAAACCAGTCGTGGGCCTCCTGGTGCGGTGTGCAGACAGCGTGGGGGAGACAAAGGCGGCCGGGCGTGGTGCTGGCCACCCGCCTCTTGTGCCATTCCGGCCTTCGTAGGTGCTCGCTAGCAGCACTTGCCCCAACAGTCTCTTGAGGCTATACGGGGGATCTTTATGAAAAAAGAGGATAGCTTTTTACCCTTTCTGGCAAAACAACAGGCGGTGTTAAGATGTGCCAACGCCAAATAGGAACCTTTGCGAGGAATCGAAGTCTGCACTAACCACACACGGTACTTGTGGTGAACATGCAAACAAACCTGCTCTGATAATATATGCGTTGTCTCTGGACTGTTCTCTGGTCTGGTGAGACGAGCCCACGAAGAAGGATGTAGCTGGCGTAAGCCAGTCGGTTTCGAAGACAATGGTATATTTATCAGAGCGCGTCTTGTTTGCATGCTCGCCAAGTACCGAGTGTGGTTATTGTTGACTGGATTCCTTGCAAAAGGTTTTTTCTATTTGGTGTTTGAACATCTTCACACCCCCTGTTGCATTGCCAGAAAGGGTACAACCTTGTTTCTCGTGGGATCTTTGTCCATTCGTGGTTGTGTTGGTGGGGTGATACCAATGGTGGTGGCGGTGGTGGGGTGATACCAGTGGTGGCGGTGGTGGTGGGGTGATACCAGTGGTGGCGGTGGTGGTGGGGCGATACCAGTGGTGGCGGTGGTGGTGGGGTGATACCAGTGGTGGCGGTAGTGGTGCGGCGATACCAGTGGTGGCGGTGGTGCTGGCGGTGGTGGGGTGATACCGGTGGTGGTGGTGGAGGTTGTCGCTATTTTTGAGTTGTTCCCCGTGGAGGTGAAATGTCGCGGCACAGGAGGAGTTGTATTCCTGTAAACAGCTGGATAATGACACTTTCATACATAGAGGACTGCAGAGCTTGGGAAATTGTTGGCTTACCACGTGGTTTCAGCCCCTCCCCCCACTCGTCTGTGGCTCCTCCGAGCGCCTCCCGAGTCGTCTCGCTATTCACTCAATACCAGAGGCAGACGGCTCGTTGCAAGTTGACATCATCATCATTATTATTCACTCAATGCAAATACTAGAGTCCGACAGCTCGTTACAAGTTGACATTATTATTCACTCAATACCAGAGACAGACGCCTCGTTACAAGTTGACATCATTATTATTATTCACTCAATACAAATACCAGAGACAGACGCCTCGTTACAAATTGACATTTTATTATTCACTCTACAAATACCAGAGGCAGACGGCTCGTTACAAGTTGACATCATTATTATTATTATTCACTCAATACAAATACCAGAGACAGACGGTTGACATCATCATCATTATGATTATTCACTCAATTCCAGAGGCAGACGGCACGTTACAAGTTGACATCACCATTTATTATTATTCACTCAATACATATACCAGAGGCAGACGTCTCGTAACAAGTTGACATCATCATCATCATTATTCACTCAATACAAATACCAGAGGCAGACGTCTCGTAACAAGTTGACATCATCATGATTATTCACTCAATACAAATACCAGAGGCAGACGTCTCGTAACAAGTTGACATCATTATTATTATTCACTCAATACAAATACCAGAGGCAGACGGCTCGTTACAAATTGACATCTTCATCATCATCATTATTATTCACTCAATACATATAAATGGAAAACAAGAAAATATCACAAACTGCAGTGGCGCGTGAACAACATAGCAAGGTGAATTATCATTTTTCTTGAGAGATTTTTTAACGTATATCATTTAAATAAAACATTTGCATAGCATTTTTGACCATCGCGAAGTGAAAATCTAGACAAGACACGGAAGCCAATTTGGCCGAGAGAGAGAAAGAGACTCTGATAATTTTTGTCTTTTTATTATTATTACTGAACGCCAGATGTTAATTCTAGGTCTGTGTGGCTCAATGTCACTTCACCGCGTTCACATTGTTACCGCTACTGCGCGTTCAGCACGTGCTCGCAGTGCTCGGAGAGTTCGCACTAAAAGTGCTCCAAGTTGCTCGTAAGCGCCCAGCGAAATGGTTCGGGAGCGAAACGCCGCCGCCGACGACGACGACGTCGCCGATGTTTGCTGCAGCTGCTCGCGGGAAGGGCTCCGAGCGAGTCGGTGTCGGTTTGCTGGCCCCGACGCCTCCACCACCGTTGAAGGAGCGTGGACCGCAGTGGCTTCGCTTGGTACGGTCCATCGCTTGGCTTGCATGGCCACAATCACACCACTGGCTTTGTCTTTATATTCACTGTACGTCTGGGTTGCATTGCCACAATCACACGACTGGCTTGTCTCGAATACATCTGTGTGGGGTCTGTTTGAGTATTTATCGCTGTGTGTGTGTGTCTGTAGTTGTATGTCTCTGGATCTGAGTTTACGATCCGGTCCCACAGTTTGGTTTGCATGGCCACAGTCGCACTGTGACTTGTCTTCAAGAATCGGAGTGCTCGTTATAACCCTGAGTTGTTCAGCTCGTGAGGATCATCCACTCGTATGCATGTGTCTGTGTATGCATGCGTGTGTATGTATATGCATGTGTGTATGTACATGCATGTGTGTGTGTACATGCATGTGCGTGTGTGTTATATACACGCTTTGTAAGGGGGATCGTTAGTGCAACGGGGTTTAGCGCGAACCCGGCCACCAGAGTTCGATTTCCGCTCACGGTCAACACCAGTGACGATGATCTCAATCTGTCCTGGCTCTCCCCTAGGCCAACTCGGCCTCGAACGATAATGTCAGGAAGGGCTTCAGTCGTTAAGTTTTCTCTTCACTGTGGCACCTTGGAGGCTGGTAGAGATCGCGGCTTCTCTGGCCCTGATCCACATCGTCGCTACTCCCACGGTCTCGAACATTTAACGCTGTAGGGGCGCTCTTTATTAGTCATTCACAGACACTATTAGTCATTCACAGACACTACAGCTCCGTAGTTAGTTACCTCTTTAAAATATATTACGTCTACAATAGAAGGTGCAACGGTTTTAAGCCCCGTTTTAAAGAAGGCTTTGTTCTTTGACACACTTGTTTAAAACAAATCTCATGGTGGTTGTCAAGGGGGGAGACAACCAGAACATTGTTCCTACACCACCTTCAATGATATCACGGTTTAGATATCATTACTGACGTGGAACAACACAAAGTCAAACAACAACCAATACAGTAGTACACGCATCACAACAAAACACGAGGAGGGGTGGGACAGGGAGGTGGGGGGGACAGTTTGACAGCCATAAAACAACAACAACAACACCAACAAATAACGACGACTACGATGACCCACAGGTGTGAACGCGCTTCCAGGCGCCAGGGTCGAGTGGGCGCTGTCGAGGCCGCGTTACGAGTCGGGCTTCCAGCCGCTCGATTTGCTGCCAAAGCGGTAGACGAGGCGACGGCCGTCCACCCGCTCCAGGATGCCGCGCTTGTAGTAGTAGCTGTGGGGGGCACGGGAGGTAGGCGGGGGGGGGCACACACGGAGGGGAATCAGAATCTTTACTTAGACTGGAGCAGGAGGAATCCGATGAGCTACGCCGCTAGGAGGAGTGCCAAAGAGTCACTAAGTATAAATAATAAGAGTACATTGTGTAAGTCCGACTTATCAAGCTTGGGCAAGACAGTGAAAGCAACTCCAAAACAGTCGCAGAGCCACAGAGTAGCCCCTCGATACAATGGCCCCACATTCACACTGAACTATGTAGACACACCACGTGTAGGTAGTAAGGGCGTCAACGTTATACAAATCACATTTGCAACTGTGGCCGCTGTATAAAAGCATTCATTTGCTTGCGGGTATTTTTTTGAAGGAAAGTTTACGATATTCTTGGCTTTCGGTAAAGTCACGTTGAAGGGAAACAATAAAGTAATAAAATATATAAAACAAAATATAAAACAATATATAAAACAATATTATTGTATTGTTTCCCTTCAACGTGACTTTACCGAAAGAGCTAAGAATATGAATTGCTGCAGTCACGAAAGCTTTAAATCAAAAGTTTACGATGTGAAGGGACGAAGCGGAGTTCGTCCCACACCGCTGGGTCGAGGTAGCAGTCTCCGGAATGAGTGCGGAACGAGCCTGGCTTGGCCGCCCGGCTCGGTGTGTCCGTGCGGGCCTTCGCAGGTGCTGCTGCTGCTGCTCGCTAACAGCGCTTGCCCCAACAGTCTGTTATGGCTACACGGGGGACCTTTGTCTGTGTGTGTGGGGAGCGCTGTGCTACGAGCCCGGCGACCCGCGTGCCCTGAGCAGGACTCTGGCTGACACCAACATCAGACACCAACATCAGCTTAGAGGAGTGCAGCAGCATCCTGCAGGGATGCCCTCCCGTGCTCCGATGTGAAGCTTCTTCGTCGACCCGCTCTGGCCGGGGATGAAGTACGGAATTCCCCCTACCCGCGGTGATGTGGCGCACCGATGGAGATCTCGGACACTATTACAGTATATCACAACTAGCCTTTTGTCCGTCCAAGGACGAGTGCGTTGCAGTAAATCTGAAACTTGCGAGCGAAAATCAGCCCGCGACGTGATATCCATTGCATCCATTCGTGTGCAGTTTGTAAGTGCGCGGTGACACAGACCTATTTCATTTTAAGGTTATAATCCCTTGTTCATCAAGACGTCATTTTTATACTCTTTGGTTCTTTCGGTAAAGTCACGTAGAATGAGAATAAAAAAATAAATTGATAAAATAAAATAACAATACAATTTTATTGTGTTATTGTGTTATTTTATTTTATCAATTTATAATTTTATTCTCATTCTACGTGACTTTACCGAAAGAACCAAAGAAGATGAATCCTTGCAGTCACGAAAGCTTTAAATCGAAACGTCATTTTTACTTTGATGTCTCAACAGCGTTACGGAGATCGCGTGACGTGAGGGTTCTGCCTTTGTAGTGAGGGTTGTAAGTTAACGCTAATTATTATTAATGGCGGGGGTGTCCATGTGGAGGACGTCACCTGTTCATGATTATTAATTAGGGGGGCTGGTCGACGTGGAGTGACGTCACGAGCGGGACACACATACATTCTTGGGTAATTATCGTAGTAAATGTGCGAGTTCACTCCTCTTATCTGCCGGTTTAAAAATAAAACAACAACAACACGCCATGGCAGAATGGGGTGGGGGAGGTGCTGCCCTCTTGTTGCGTGATCAGAAGTCGCTTGAATGCATCTCAGAAGTAGCTCTGTGGTGTCCGCTTCCACGGGCCGTTTTCTGAACACGACGGAATAACCCGCGTCCATTGCCGACTCCTACCGAGTTCTTCCTTGACAACGCAGCCTGACCATTGCACATTTCGTCGTCACCAAGACATCCCACAGTGACCTCATTCGCTGCCTTGTTAATCAATAAATCTTGACGTCAAATTATCTTTAAGATTTACGTCTTTTGTTGTTGTTGTTTAAAACAGCTGCCCGCACAAAGTCTGCCCGCAAAGAGCCGCAAGTTACCGACTCCCCCCCCACCACCCCCCCACTCACCACCCCCCCACCCACCTCCACCATCCCCATCACTCCACCCTCCCCACCACCCCCCCCACCCACCTCCACCCTCCCCACCACCCCCCCACCCACCTCCACCCCACTCTCCCCCACCCCCCACCCACCCACCCATCCTCCCCACCCCCCACCCCCCACCTACCTCCACCCCACCACCCACCTCCACCCCACCCACCCTCTCCACCACCCCACCACCCACCTCCACCCCACCCACCCTCTCCACCACCCCTCCACCCACCTCCACCCCACTCACCCTCCCCACCACCCTCCTCACCACCCCCCCCACCGCCCCCCACCCACCCACCGCCACCCCACCCACCCCCAGTGTAGGAACGCAACCCCGCGGCTCTCTCACCGCATGGCGCGGCTCAGCTTCTCGTAGGTCATGCCCGGGTTGCGCTTCCGTTCCCCCCACAGGCGGGCGACGTCCCCGGCGCGCACGAATCGGAAGGAGCCGGCCTGGCGGTCCTCCCAGCGCAGCAGCCCCGCACTGCCGCCCTCCGCCTGGCCCAGCAGCAGGTCCCGCAGGAACTCCCAGAGCAGCGCACCCCGAGACCCGCCTGTCCCCCGGCCAGAGGAACGTGGAGTTGGTGGTGGTGGTGCGGAGAGGGGGAGTTCGACGCGGGTTCGATGACAAGAGGATGAGTACAAAGGTAAAGCTTCCACCCCCCCCCCCCACCATCGTGTAGCCAATAACAGAATGATGGGGCAAGTGCTGCTAGCTAGCACCTGTTGTGAAGGGCCAGGTACACGACACACGAGGGGTTGGTGGCCAGCAACCCCGCCCGGCCGCCTTTGTCTCCCCAGTCATGGTGGGTTGTACACACCGCACCAGGGGGCCGTCCATAAATGACGTCACGCGATTTTTGACGATTTTTGACCCTCCCCCCCCCCTCGTCACACGGCGTCACAAAAAGTCAGACCCCCCCTCAAATATGACGTCACAAAGCTCTGCCCCCCCCTAAAAAAAATGCTTCAAATCGCTTTAAACTATTGTCATTGTAGTGCGTATTTAATGTGGCGCTGCACTCTGATGTTGTAGTAGAAAACATTAAGAAGTCTATTTAATTAAGTAGAACGTGTTTATATTTATTTAAAGTTGCGCATTTTGATGTGACGTCACATTTCTCAAACCCCCCCCCCCCTCGTCACACATCGTCACAAATGTCTGACCCCCCCCCCCCCAGGTGCGTGACGTCATTTAAGGACGCCCCCCAGGTACTCATTGAAGGCTGAGTCGTCCCAGCGAGTGGCCAGGCCTCACCATGCTTGTGCTTGCGCTGTGCGCAATGTAACCCCACGGCTTCTGCCTTGACGCCTTCTCCCTGCGGGTGGGCTGCCCGTGGGAGCTCAGCCTCTGGGGGTGTCGCTGGGTGGCGCTCTGCTCATGATTCGCACACACGCATTGAACATACACACACACACGCATTGAACACACACACACACACGCATTGAACACACACGCATTGAACACACACACACGCATTGAACACACACACGCATTGCACACACACGTATTGAACACACACGCATTGCACACACACGTATTGAACATACACACACACGTATTGAACATACACACACACGTATTGAACATACACACACACGTATTGAACATACACACACACGCATTGAACACACACACACACGCATTGAACACACACGCATTGCACACACACACGCATTGCACACACACGTATTGAACATACACACACGCGCAATGAACACACACACACGCATTAAACACACACACACGCATTGCACACACACGTATTGAACACACACACCCACATTGAACACACACACACACACGCACATTGAACACACACGCATTGTGCACAAACACACACGCATTGCACACACACACGCATTTAACACACACGCATATTGAACACACACACACGCATTGAACACACACACGCACGCATTGAACACACGCATTAAACACACATGCATCGAACACACACACGCACATTGAACGCACACACACGCATTGAACACACACACATTGAACACACGCACGCATTAAACACACACGCATTGAACACACACACACGCATTGAACATACATGCATTGAACACACGCATTAAACACACACGCATTGAACGCACACACACGCATTGAACACATACACAGACGCATTGAACGCACACACACGCATTAAACACACGCATTGAACACACACACACGCATTGAGCACACACAGACACGCACTGAACACACGCATTGAATACGTGTACGTTGAACTTCTTTCGCACCGTACGTAGCCAACCGCGCTAATCGGAGGTGCGGGGAAGGACAACAAACTTTAAACAAAAAGCAGTTCTAAAGAAATGCGTTTTAAATTTCGATGTAAAAGTGCATCACAGCTCCCAGTGGCTTCCTAATTTGGGAAGGAAGAGCGTTCCAGACGGCCGCAGAAGCGCATCTGAGGGCGCCGCGCGACGACGATGATGACGCTGCGGTGACCGTCTTTGTTCGTGGTGACGTCACCGCCACTCAGTGGCCAATGGCGCTTGTTGTGTTGTTGTTGTGGGGAGGGGTTGGAGGGGGTGGCCACACCCACCGCTCGGGTCGCTGTGCTCCGCTTCCGCTCGGTGCGCGCACGCGCGCGCCATGTCGGCGAGGTGCGCGTGCATGCGCGCGCCCAGCTGCTCCGAGCCGGCGGCCTCCTCCATCCGCTCGCGGCTCATGGCGAGCAGCGCGGGGCCGTCCACGTCGAGCGCCTCGGCGGGGATGCGCGAGGCGTCGGCGCGCGCGCCCTCCACGTGCCACGCCACCCACTCGAACACGTGGCCACGGTCCCAGCGCGCGGGCGGTAGCGCGCGCCACGTGGGGCACGCGCACGGGGACGCGCCCGCGGGGTCGAGAAGCAGCAGCGGGGACGACGCAGCGTGGAACGGCAGCGGCTGCTGCTGCTGATGATGATGGTGATGTTGTTGCTGCTGCTGCGTTGGTGGTGGTAATAGTGGTGGTGGTGGTAATAGTGGTGGTGGTGATAGCAGCAGCGGCGCGGTCATGTCGAAGTCTTGCACGCTCCATGGCGCGTCCACGTGGCCTGTGAGGAACGCGCGACCCGTGTGCGTCAGTCGACACAACCCCGTGTGTGTGTGAGTGTGTGTGTGGGTGTGCGGCAATAGACGTAACACTGCGCTCTGTCGCCATGGAATGAGTCGGTGAAGGATAGCGAGCGACCGTGCAGGCGTGAGCCCAGATTGAGCACCAGCAGGAGGAACACAGAGAGAGGGAGGGTACATCGATTCGGGGCAATCGCCCCGGGCCCCACGCTTTGGGGGGGGGGGGGACCCCGCGCTTCGACGTCACGGTGTCAAATGTAACACTTTCAATTGTTTCATTTGAAGGCATCGAGGGTGCCCACAGTGGGATCTGCTCCTGAACCCCCCCGCCCCCATGGACGGCCGTACACGTGACTCGTCGAGCCGGTTCGTGAAGTGACAGCCATCACCATTTCGGCGTCCCTCTTTCCCGGACTCGCTTCCAGTCGCGTTGCGTTCCACGGCGCAGCTCACGCGCTGTCCAGGAACGCGCCCTCCCTGCCTGCAGTCGAGGCAGGGCGCCCCTTCCACATTCCCCGCAGACTCTGGCCGTGCTGGCTGCGTGAGAGCTGTGACCTCCACCCCCCTCCCCCCCCCGTCTCGTTCCCCACTCCCTCACCTTACACGTACAGACAGCACAAAGTCGTGGATACATGTGGTCTTGTTTATATGGTGTTCAATTTAACACGCAGGTTTTCGCGACCAATATCATCCATAATACTGGTTTGTTTGGGTTAGATCGCGTAAATATATAAATGTGTCGTTAAACCCGCCACCACCCGACACAGCCAACTAGTAAGGGTTGTCACGTAAACAGAACGTGGCCAATTCGTCACTAGTACAGCACTAACCGGTGTGTTAGAGAGCCAAGCCACAACAACTCTCTTCAACACACCGGTGTGCTGTACTCGGAACGGATTACCACGTTTCCTTTACGTGACACCACACCTTACTAATTGGCTGTGTCGGGTGGTGGCGAGTCTAACGAGACATTTCGATTTTTACGCGATCTAACCCAAACAAACCTGTATTATAGATGTTCAATGTTAACACGATACTATGAAGAGACACCCCTACATGTCTTTATACTGTACTAGCTGTACTATCCGGCTTCGCCCGGGACTTGGATCCACCATGCGCGGCCGCCTTTGTCTCCCCAGTGGCGATGTTCACACACCACAGCAGTTACTCGTTTGAGGCTGAGTCGACCTAGGGGAGGCCCAGGAGCGGTTGACTTAATCATCACCGGTGGTGGTCGTGAGCGGGAATCGAACTTGGCTCGCCGGGTTCGTAGCGCGGCGCGCTAACCAGTACACTACAATGCGTTACGCTTCCACATGCGCAGGTCACATGACAGATTTGACGTCACAGCTCACTTGCCATGCAAAAAATATATGCATTATTGAGCTCCCCCCCCCCCAAAAAAAGTATATTTTTATAATCTTGCATGGTGTACAGTCTGGAAAGTACCCACATGGCAAATTTCAAGTTTGTTGCATATCGGGAAGTACGCTAAACATTTTGAACAGACACACATTCACAACTTTGCCTTTTATATATATGGAGATAAGGACAAAATAACGCTTTTATTTACGTGGGCCCCCTCTGAAGCTATCAAGGCCCTGAACAAATGTCCCGTTTTCCTGACGAATTAAGATTTCTTGAAGAATTCAGTTTTTCTGAAGAATTAAGCTTCCCTGAAGAATTCAGTTTTTCTGAAGAAATCAGTTTTCCTGAAGAATTCAGTTTTCCTGAAGAATTACGTTTTCCTGAAGAATTAAGTTTCCATGAAGAATTCAGTTTTCCTGAAGAATTAAGTTTCCATGAAGAATGAAGTTTTCCTGAAGAATTAAGTTTCCATGAAGAATTATGTTTTCCTAAAGAATTAAGTTTTCCTGAAGAATTCAGTTTCCATGAATATAACTCCGAGCACGTGGCGCGAAACGTCGCTCGCCACTGCGGCGGTGCAGCGGCGAGCGCTACGCTGCGTGACGAACCCGGGCCACCCGAGTTCGAATCTCACTCACGGCCAACACCGGTGACGATTATCTGAATCGGTCCCGGGGCTCCCCTTTGTCGACTCAGCCTCAAATGCGTACCTGGTGCGGCGTCTAAACATCGCCACTGGGGAGACAAAGGCGGCCGGGCGCGGTGCTGGCCACCCACCCCGTCGTGTGCCACAGTGCCGGCCTTCACAGGTGCTGCTCGCTAACAGCACGTGACCCAGGAGGCTGTCCAGGCTACACGATGGGGGCGTTTCATCGTTGATGCACCACGTACCTGGGTACATCGCTGCGGGGTTGTCGTGCGTCGCGAAGCGGAGGGAATGCGTTGGGTCGCACATCCTTCGCGTGCCTCCCTCCTTGATCGTTGGCCACCTGCGCGAGGTGACACCGACACGCCTTTATCAACCGCGTGTCCCCGCCACGGCATTCCCGCCTCTGATTCGAATCTAAACAACTACATCTGGCGGTCCGCCTGATGGTGCCAGTTGTAATTACTGGGCGAAGCGTCGTACTCTGCTTGCAAATGTCGTGGATTTGCTCTCCAACACACGGGCGTTGCTGTACTAGTAACGAATTGGCTACGTCCTGTTTACGTAACACTAAACCTTACTAGTAATTGGCTGCGTCGGGTGGTGCGGGTTTAACGACACATTTTAATTTACGTGATCTAACCCAAAACAAGTATATTATGGATAAACTAAAAACCCCTCGGTAGAAAGGAGTTCAACATACGTACGTTCACTTAGTCGCAGCTCGCTCCACAGCTGTGTGCCGGCTCGTGATGGGAATAAGCAAGCGAATAGACGTAAAGAAAGACACGCGGAGCGCAGTAGCTCCATTGAGCAACACTCTCGTGCCAGGTCTCAGACCATGAGTGATGTCATCAGCCACGTGTGAGGCCCGCTGTGCCTGGCAGGTATCCCACAAACCCACGGGGCTTCATGCGCGTTCCACGTTATAACGGGGGGTGCACATACGTGGAAGGAGAATGAGAGAGGCGAGATGAGAAACACCCCGAATTCAATTTCACATTGAATTTTGTGGAATGCAACGTCCATATGGTCATGCCATGAGTAAAAAAATATATGTAACTTGTTTGGAAAAGCAGATAATGCAAGGCATAATACTCGCTTCACGTGCGCGAGGAAGACCACAAGGCTCACATTGGATGGACAACATCAAAGCATGGACGAGGCTCACGCTGGAACAGACAAATGAGGATAGCAGGATACAGAAGTCAGCGGCGAAGGGTTGCCCGTGGTGTGGCCAACCCTCGGATCGAGGATGGCTGAAGATAAATACAATCTTGATTTGAGGCTTTCGTGACTGCAGGAATTCATAATCTTTGGTTCTTTCGGTAAAGTGACGTAGGTAGAAATACAATAAAATAAATCACGACGTTTCGATCGCAACACAAGCGTGTGTCATCAGGTGGAAGAACCACAGCAGGAAAATGCTGAAGTAGGCGAGAGAGCTGCCGTGGCAAGAGGTTATATAGGTAGGAAAGGGGGGAGCAAGGGGGGAGAGAGGGGGGCAGGGGAAGCTGTGTGAGCGCTAGGGGGAGAAGAAGTGAGACTGGGGGGGAGTGGGCGGGGCTAGAAGTGGGCGGGGCTAGCAGTGGGAAGCTGAGTGTGGGACACGGGGGTGAGTAACTAGGAAGAATGTTGCTAGTACACGGCAGGTCATGATGGAAACAACCACAACCAGTTCAGGCTTTACCTGGTTGATAACATCCTTCCAATGATTGCTCAATTTGTATCCATCTTCTCGGTTGAAGTTATGTCTATGATTATATATCTGGATGGCTTCATGAACAAAACTTTGATAGTTGCCCGAAGGTTTGCAGAGTACCTTGGTCTCGAAAAAAGCAATATCATGCGAGCCCACAGCGTTATAACAATGGTCAGCCACGGCAGAGGTATTGGTTCTGCCGTGTTTCAGATCTGACTTGTGTTCGCGGACACGGTCCGAGACGTCGTTTCGTTTCCCCAATGTAACTGCGACCGCAGGTACAACTTAGTTTGTAGACACCAGGGTATTGCATGTCAGGAATGACCTTCACAGATGGGATTAGATCACGGATTTTGTCTACGGTATTGAATCGGACCTGGATCTTGTTGTTTGTTTAAGATTTTGGAAATATTTTTAGTAACGCCTGCTGTGTATGGTAAAGTGATGGTTTTGAATGGCTCCTCAGGGCTGTCACAATGGAACTCGCTGCACTGTATGCGTGCATGCACGTTGAACTTCTTTTCGCACCGTACGTAGCCAAGCGTGCTAATCGGGGGTGCGTTAACAGTTCACGCGAAGTTGTCGATGCGGACGGCCGTGCACCCTGGGGGCCATGCGAACACCTCGGCAATCTGGGTCGGCGTGGTTGTGTGTGCGACGTGGTTGTGTGTGTGTGTGACGTGGTTGTGTGTGTGTGTGACGTGGTTGTGTGTGTGTGACGTGGTTGTGTGTGACGTGGTTGTGTGTGACGTGGTTGTGTGTGACGTGGTTGTGTGTGTGTGTGACGTGGTTGTGTGTGTGACGTGGTTGTGTGTGACGTGGTTGTGTGTGACGTGGTTGTGTGTGTGTGTGACGTGGTTGTGTGTGACGTGGTTGTGTGTGTGTGACGTGGTTGTGTGTGAGACGTGGTTGTGTGTGACGTGGTTGTGTATGTGTGTGACGTGGTTGTATGTGTGACGTGGTTGTGTGTGTGTGACGTGATTCTGTGTGTGTGTGACGTGCTTGTGTGTGTGTGTGTGAGACGTGGCCTGAAATGACCTCCTCCAGCCACTCACCCGCGCTCTCGGTGTTTCACTTTTATGAACATTTTACGAGCTGTACTTTCAGAGCAAACGAGTTCACGTGGTTGAATGGGCTGTCTGTCACTCAGTGGCTACTTACTACTGTGAGCGCGATTATCCACGTGACAAATCCAACGCAGCTGTGTGGTGGTGAAGCAGCAACCACGTGGCCTCGTTACGTGGTTGCGTCGGGTGGCGGAGGGTAGTACGACACATTTTACTTGCTCGGCGAACTCACCCAAAAATCTATTATCTATTCATACGCCAATGTAAAAACCTGTCCGTCAGAAAACTTTACGAAAGTAACGCCTCTCTCATCAGCCCCCACGGTGTATACAGGTGCAGTCTCCAGCTCATATCGTCCACGCTCCTCTAGCCACTCTATACATGTGCTATGGAGAAGGTTCATTACACGAAACGTCGCTGATCATGTACACAAATGAAGCAAAATGCCTTGCTGATCTAAAGGAGCATAAACCATCATCACGCCAACTCCGATCATCATTGCAGCAGCAGCAGCGGCTTTTGGCTGCTAAGCCATCGAATATATTAGGAAGCCACTGGAGCTATGATGCCCTTTTAAAGACTGACAAACTAATTACTTTAGAACTGCTTCGTTTAGTCTGTTGTCCTTCCCCCGCACCTCCGATTAGCGCGGTTGGCTACGCACGGTGCGAAAGAAGTTCAACGTACACGCGTACAAATTTGTTTTTGCCTTTGTAGGCCACGCAAAGTGTCATCGATGACTATGCGGAGTTTGTCTTACGACGATCGCGCTTGTGCGCCACTTCAACCCTGTCGGTGTCGCCCCGACGGACAAGGCGATGATGACGCCGCCACGAGGCCATCGTCCAAACGGGCCCTCGGCATCGACGTGGAGGTGACGATGGCGATGCGCGTCATCGGCCGGACAATGTCTTCTGCTGGGACGATTCGCTACGAGGACGAACGCGGCCGCGTGATCTACGCGCCCCGCTGCTACCGCCCGCGAGTTACAATCAACAACCCCGAGTCGCCGCCGATCCTGTCTGCCTACAGCTACCTACTTGGCACAGATAATAGCCACGTAACACATCCGTGGGTATACAATCGCGTGCTCGATGTATCAACATTTAAAATTGCAACTCGCTGAACGACGCATTGAGGCCGCGACGCAGCTTCGCCACAAGTGCGATACAAGACTGAAATCGGTTCAGAAGTTTGCTATTGTTTGGGGGGGGTGCAGGGGGGGCAGAGGGGGCAGGGGTCAGGGGTCATCGTGTCTCTCGTGCGGGAGACAACCCCACGAAGCAGTGGGGGAAGCGAGACCGGAGGCTGGAACCAACCCCCGGTGCTCACCGTCTTCGCAGGGGCAACCTACTTACAGCACTGCCACCCATGCAGGCCACGTGGGTGCTGCGTGGGGGACTTGTGGAGGTTCCACAGGGGGGCGACTGACTCGTCACTAAAAAGCGGGCTGCCCGTGCAACGTCGTTTCTGAGTGTACCCAGACACGTACATGAATTCATTTACTAAATCCTGGCACAACTCATTGTTCCGTTTCAATATTTGACAGGCGACGCAGAGATTCAGTCAGCAGCTGCCCTTCACGAAATTCAGAGTTCGGGCTTTCGTGCCAGCTGGTCTGTTCAGAGTGTAACACTTCGTCTCTTCAGAGTGTAACACTTTGTTCAGAGTGTAACACTTTGCCTGTTCAGAGTGTAACACTTTGCCTGTTCAGAGTGTAACACTTTGCCTGTTCAGAGTGTAACACTTTGCCTGTTCAGAGTGTAACACTTTGTTCAGAGTGTAACACTTTGCCTGTTCAGAGTGTAACACTTTGCCTGTTCAGAGTGTAACACTTTGCCTGTTCAGAGTGTAACACTTTGCCTGTTCAGAGTGTAACACTTTGCCTGTTCAGAGTGTAACACTTTGTCTCTTCAGAGTGTAACACTTTGTTCAGAGTGTAACACTTTGCCTCTTTAGAGTGTAACACTTTGCCTGTTCAGAGTGTAACACTTTGCCTGTTCAGAGTGTAACACTTTGCCTGTTCAGAGTGTAACACTTTGCCTGTTCAGAGTGTAACACTTGGCCTGTTCAGAGTGTAACACTTTTTTCAGAGTGTAACACTTTTTTCCGAGTGTAACACTTTTAACAGACCGGTAAAACGAATACACTGAACACGTACGCGCTTGAAACGTTCCGAGCAGTGTTGCCATCTCATAGGCAATGTTCTGCTACAACTTCATCATCATCATCATGGTGGCGTCAATCTTAGAGCAAAGTTGACAGGAGGTCTCTCCCTGCGTCTCGTAACGCGTGGTTGGCCTGCGCGTGCCTCCTTCCTTCACAGAGCCCACGACATTTGCTATGCGGCACGGAGCTACAGCGAGGGAAAAAAAGCATTTGATCCCCTGCTGATGTTGTACGTTTGCCCACTGACAAAGAAATGATCAGTCTATAATTTTAATGGTAGGTTTATTTGAACAGTGAGAGACAGAATAACAACAAAAATCCAGAAAAACGCATGTCAAAAATGTTATAAATTGATTTGCATTTTAATGAGGGAAATAAGTATTTGACCCCCTCTCAATCAGAAGGATTTCTGGCTCCCAGGTGTCTTTTATACAGGTAACGAGCTGAGATTAGGAGCACACTCTTAAAGGGAGTGCTCCTAATCTCAGCCTGTTACCTGTATAAAAGACACCTGTCCACAGAAGCAATCAATCAATAAGATTCCAAACTCTCCACCATGGCCAAGACCAAAGAGCTCTCCAAGGATGTCAGGGACAAGATTGTAGACCTACACAAGGCTGGAATGGGCTACAAGACCATTGACAAGCAGCTTGGTGAGAAGGTGACAACAGTTGGTGCGATTATTCGCAAATGGAAGAAACACAAAAGATCTGTCAATCTCCCTCGGCCTGGGGCTCCATGCAAGATCTCACCTCGTGGAGTTGCAATGATCATAAGAACGGTGAGGAATCAGTCCAGAACTACACGGGAGGATCTTGTCAATGATCTGAAGGCAGCTGAGACTATAGTCACCAAGAAAACAATTGGTAACACACTACGCCGTGAAGGACTGAAATCCTGCAGCGCCCGCAAGGTCCCCCTGCTCAAGAAAGCACATATACATGCCCGTCTGAAGTTTGCCAATGAACATCTGAATGATTCAGAGGACAATTGGGTGAAAGTGTTGTGGTCAGATGGGACCAAAATGGAGCTCTTTGGCATCAACTCAACTCGCCGTGTTTGGAGGAGGAGGAATGCTGCCTATGACCCCAAGAACACCATCCCCACCGTCAAACATGGAGGTGGAAACATTATGCTTTGGGGGTGTTTTTCTGCTAAGGGGACAGGACAACTTCACCGCATCAAAGGGACGATGGACGGGGCCATGCACCGTCAAATCTTGGGTGAGAACCTCCTTCCCTCAGCCAGGGCATTGAAAATGGGTCGTGGATGGGTATTCCAGCATGACAATGACCCAAAACACACGGCCAAGGCAACAAAGGAGTGGCTCAAGAAGAAGCACATTAAGGTCCTGGAGTGGCCTAGCCAGTCTCCAGACCTTAATCCCATAGAAAATCTGTGGAGGGAGCTGAAGGTTCCAGTTGCCAAACGTCAGCCTCGAAACCTTAATGACTTGGAGAAGATCTGCAAAGAGGAGTGGGACAAAATCCCTCCTGAGATGTGTGTAAACCTGGTGGCCAACTACAAGAAACGTCTGACCTCTGTGATTGCCAACAAGGGTTTTGCCACCAAGTACTAAGTCATGTTTTGCAGAGGGGTTAAATACTTATTTCCCTCATTAAAATGCAAATCAATTTATAAAATTTTTGACATGCGTTTTTCTGGATTTTTTTGTTATTCTGTCTCTCACTGCTCAAATAAACCTAATATTAAAATTACAGACTGATCATTTCTTTGTCAGTGGGCAAACGTACAAAATCAGCAGGGGATCAAATACTTTTTCCCCTCACTGTAAGCAGGATTCTCTCCTGCCTGCATCACGGACCGCGTGTTAGGACGGCCCCGCATGTCCACACGCACACACACGCACACACACGCACACATGCACACACATGCACACACATGCACACACACATGCACACACGCACACACACACGCACACACACATGTACACACACGCACACATGCACACACGCACGCACACACACGCACGCACACACATGCACACACGCACACACATTCACACACGCACACACATTCACACACATGCACACACACGCACACACACACGCACACACGCACGCACACACGCACACACACATGCACACACATGCACACACATGCACACACATGCACACACACACACACGCACATGCACACACACACACATACAAAGACAAAGACAAAGATCCCCCATATAGCCTTAACAGACTGTAGGGGCAAGTGCTGTTAGCGAGCACCTATGAAGGCCGGAACGGTACACGAGGGGGTGGGTGGCCAGCACCACGCCCGACCGCCTTTGTCTCCCTAGTGGCAATGTTTACACACCGCACCAGGTACTCATTTGAGGCTGAGTCGACCTAGGGGAGGCCCAGGACCGGTTCAGATAATCGTCACTGGTGTCGGCCGTGAGCGGGAAACGAACCCGCGTCGCCAGGTTCATAGCGCAGCGCGCTAACCGCTACACTATCGCTCCCACCATGCACACACACATACACACACACATGCACACACACATGCACACGCACACACACACGCACACACACACGCACACACACGGGTCGTGGTGATGGTGGCGGTGTTACGGTCCACACGCGCCTTACCTCTCGCGACGCCGCCGCGATGGGACGAGGTCGCTAGCCGCTGTAGGTGACGATGCCGAGGGTTGATGGTTGGTTTGGTGGTGGTGGTGTTGACGGGATAGCCGAGCCTGCGGCGACGTGGGTGATGCCGGTAAACCCTGCTGCCTCGCTCACCACCCCCACTCACCCGCTACCCCCTCCTCACAAAAGGGTGGTGAGCAGCAGCAACAGCACGCGCAGCTCACCTGGGTAGCAGCACCCCCAACCCTGACTTCTCTCGCCATAGCTGCCCTCGTACCGCGCTCCAGGTGCGTGCAGGTGAGGCCACGCCCCCTGCAAGGTCAAGTTCCCCAGAGGCGATTTGCATCCTGATTTGCATGCAGGCGGGGCGGGTGGGTGGAGGGAGAGGAGGAGGAGGAGGGGGAAGAGGGGGACTCCTGGGGGGGGGGGGGAGGGGTGCGTGGGGGGGGGGTCGTGCACCTATCAACTATAGTGGGGGGGGGGGGAGACGTTCACCTATCAACTATAGTGGGGGGGGGGGGGGGGGAGACGTTCACCTGTCAACTATAGTGGGGGGGGGGGGGGGGGGTGGGACGTGCACCTGTCAACTATAGTGGAGGGGGTTGGGGTGTTCCGCATAGCAACTGCGCCGTGACCCCCACCTCTGTCGCCGCTCGTGCCGGGAGGTTTCCGGTGCTCCAAGCCGGCGATGCCGAATGCCAACGGAGCTGTGCACGCGGGCAGCGCCAGCGACCTTCAAACGTCGGTCAACAAATGATTGGGCGATGGTGCGTGGCCACGGTGGCTCGGAGGTGGCAACTACCCTAGCCACGTGGCTTCGATCCCGGCCCTGACGCCTGCCGTGTATTTGGAGTTTGCTCCTCTTGGTGGCGTGGTTTATCTCACACTCATTGGGGGGTTTCCCTCCACATTTAAAACCGACGCGTATTTGGCCGCTTCACATCTGCACGCGATAAGCCGCTTCGCTACGCTGTCACGGGTGGCCAGGTCGCTTCTGAACCAGAGCCAAATAGCTCAGTGGGTCTTACTTGGTCACATACAAAATAGTTTTTTTTTATTGCTGCTGAGTTGGCAGCGACGCACAAGCAGAGCTAGCAGCAACAACAGCCGCCATTCGCCACTAAGTGGCGGCGACGTCACCACGGCGCTTTGTGCCAGGCTAGGTGCACCTTGAGGCTATCGCGTGAAGTGTCGAACGCTCGCTGGCAGGAGGTCACGGGACAGACCCAGGCGCCGTGGGCTGATCGGGTCGTGGTAGTAACAAAGTGACGATGTGTTTGCGAAACGACGTTGATACACGATTAGAATTTGGTATATTTGACAAACACACACACACAACCTACACACATTCGTCAATGGTGCTGTGGCTTTAAATGGAAGTAGATAATAGGTGACGTTTTGAGCAATTGCCCTTCTTGATAGCACATCAACTATTTAAACGTTCACTTAGTGGGAGGTCATCTGTGTGGGCTTTCTCGTGGCACCCGAGTAAATGCACTTGACAAATCTATATACAGTTCATACAACATCAACTCAAGCCTCCCGTAGATCACGTGACTTATGTGTGCCCCCTCCCACTCTGAATCCCTCCCCTTTCCCCACCCCCTGTGAAAACAGACGCCGCTGCGTGCAGCTCGCAATGTTCTCTCTCTTCTCCCTCTTGTCTCCCCCTCTCACCACCACCACCACCAACCACCACCCTCTCACCACCACCACCACCACCCTCTCACCACCACCACCACCACCACCACCTTCTCACCACCACCACCACCACCACCCTCTCACCACCACCACCACCTTCTCACCACCACCACCACCACCCTCTCACCACCACCACCACCACCACCCTCTCACCACCACCACCCTCTCACCACCACCCTCTCACCACCACCACCCTCTCACCACCACCCTCTCACCACCACCCTCTCACCACCACCCTCTCACCACCACCCTCTCACCACCACCCTCTCACCACCACCACCACCACCACCCTCTCACCGCCACCCTCTCACCACCACCACCCTCTCACCACCACCACCCTTTCACCACCACCACCACCACCACCCTCTCACCACCACCACCACCCTCTCACCACCATCACCTTCTCACCACCACCACCACCACCCTCTCACCACCACCACCACCCTCTCACCACCACCACCACCACCCTCTCACCACCACCACCACCACCTCTCAACCCCAACGTCTTGGCCCGGTCACTCTTTACCGATCATTTGTGCCACAGCTGTTTCCATTCCCCTCCCACCCTTCTCTTATTGGCTATTATTTATATTATTTGTATTATTTATATTATTTATATTCTCTCTCCCCTTTCTCTTTTTTGCCATGCGTTACATCCTTCACTCTACTTCAGAATCAGAATTTGTATTTATACTGCAGGAGGAATCCGAAGAGCTATAAAGCTCTTTTTCACAGACGTCCAGTAGGGGCAGGTCAGAAACTTACAACAACAAACAATGCAAACCGATCAGAGTGCAAGTATATGGAGAAAATTACTCAAAAATAAATACGTAAAAAAGATAACCTTTGGGTGTGCCACGGGTGAAAGGTGTTGTACAAAACAACGTATTTCACAATGCTGGCCAAACTGGAGTTTATATTTTTGGTAATGCACGTTGTTACGGAAGCGATGCACGATGACATTCCGTGACGAAGAAAAGGGAACAGTCTGAGACGTGAACCCAGAAGCTTGGGGAAGCTGCATCCTCGGAATTGCAACTACTAAAAAGAGGAACACGTGGATTCCAGAATATTCACCAGTTAGAGGCATCGTATTGTATGTGTGTACGTTGGACTTTTCTCGCACCGTACGCAGCCAACCGTGCTAATGGGAGATGCGGGGGCAGGAGAACAAACGAACACACGCAAAATCGTTTCTAAAGAAATACGTTTTCAGTCTAGATTTTTCAATTGCATATCTCAAGTAGCGTCTCGAATACCGCAAAGTGTTCAGTTTCATTCAACGGGCGGGCGAGGTCACGACACGTGGCCAGAAGGGACGGTGGATTGTTTTTTTATCGGGTTGAGACTAACGACGGAGTGACAGCCGAAGCAGGGAACGCGTTCCCATGGGACGTCTACTGTGCAGAATCGGGCGATGAAATCGAATCGGTTCGATAGTGAGAGAGACGAGCCTCACTCGAGGCTCTTGATGACGCAGCTTACACAGCGCCGTGACGCGGAGTGGAATGACGTCGTTGGCAGGGGCGCGTTGCAAGGGATCGAAAAATGGGTGATGGCAGCGATAGAGGGGTGCTCAAAGGGGATCACGAAAGGGCTGTAGGGGAGGGACGGGAAGGAGTGGAGGGGCGTGGGGAGGGAAGAGGAAAGGAATGGGCAAAAGAGACGAGGTGGAGCTTTAAAAGGGGAAGAGAAGGAGGTGAAGGAGGGGGACTGCTCAATATACAGGGGCAGCGTTGAGTCTGTGGGCAGTGTTGAGTCTATGGGCAGTGTTGAGTCCATGGGCAGTGTTTAGTCTATGGGCAGTGTTGAGTCTATGGGCAGTGTTGAGTCCATGGGCAGTGTTGAGTCTATGGGTAGTATTGAGTCTATGGGCAGTGTTGAGTCTATGGGCAGTGTTGAGTCTATGGGCAGTGTGAGTCTTGGGGCAGTGTTGAGTCCATGGGCAGTGTTTAGTCTGTGGGCAGTGTTGAGTCTATGGGCAGTGTTGAGTCTATGGGCAGTGTGAGTCTTGGGGCAGTGTTGAGTCCATGGGCAGTGTTTAGTCTGTGGGCAGTGTTGAGTCTATGGGCAGTGTTGAGTCGATGGGCAGTGTTGAGTCCATGGGCAGTGTGAGTCTATGAGCAGTGTTGAGTCTATGGGCAGTGATGAGTCTATGGGCAGTGATGAGTCTATGGGTAGTGTTGAGTCCATGGGCAGTGTTGAGTCTATGGGCAGTGATGAGTCTATGGGCAGTGTTGAGTCCATGGGCAGTGTTGAGTCTATGGGCAGTGTTGAGTCCATGGGCAGTGTTAGTATATGGGCAGTGTTGAGTCTATGGGCAGTGTTGAGTTTATGGGCAGTGTGAGTCTTGGGGCAGTGTTGAGTCCATGGGCAGTGTTTAGTCTGTGGGCAGTGATGAGTCTATGGGTAGTGTTGAGTCCATGGGCAGTGTTGAGTCTATGGGCAGTGATGAGTCTATGGGCAGTGATGAGTCTATGGGCAGTGTTGAGTCCATGGGCAGTGTTGAGTCTATGGGCAGTGTTGAGTCCATGGGCAGTGTTGAGTCCATGGGCAGTGTTGAGTCTATGGGCAGTGTTGAGTCTATGGGTAGTGTTGAGTCCATGGGCAGTGTTGAGTCTATGGGCAGTGTTGAGTCTGTAGGGCAGTGTTGAGTCTATGGGTAGTGATGAGTCTTGGGGCAGTGTTGAGTCTTGGGGCAGTGTTGAGTCTTGGAGCAGTGTTGAGTCTATGGGCAGTGTTGAGTCTATGGGCAGTGTTGAGTCTATGGGCAGTGATGAGTCTTGGGGCAGTGTTGAGTCTATGGGCAGTGTTGAGTCTATGGGCAGTGTTGAGTCTATGGGCAGTGATGAGTCTATGGGCAGTGATGAGTCTATGGGTAGTGTTGAGTCCATGGGCAGTGTTGAGTCTATGGGCAGTGATGAGTCTATGGGCAGTGTTGAGTCCATGGGCAGTGTTGAGTCCATGGGCAGTGTTAGTATATGGGCAGTGTTGAGTCTATGGGCAGTGTTGAGTCTATGGGCAGTGTTGAGTCCATGGGCAGTGTTGAGTCTATGGGTAGTGTTGAGTCTATGGGCAGTGTTGAGTCTATGGGCAGTGTTGAGTCTATGGGCAGTGTTGAGTCTATGGAGCAGTGTTGAGTCTACGGGCAGTGTTGAGTCCATGGGCAGTGTTGAGTCTTGGAGCAGTGTTGAGTCTATGGGCAGTGTTGAGTCTATGGGCAGTGTTGAGTCTATGGGCAGTGATGAGTCTATGGGCAGTGATGAGTCTATGGGTAGTGTTGAGTCCATGGGCAGTGTTGAGTCCATGGGCAGTGTTGAGTCCATGGGCAGTGTTGAGTCTATGGGCAGTGTTGAGTCTATGGGCAGTGTTGAGTCTATGGGCAGTGTTGAGTCTATGGGCAGTGATGAGTCTTGGGGCAGTGTTGAGTCTATGGGCAGTGTTGAGTTTATGGGCAGTGTTGAGTCTATGGGCAGTGTTGAGTCCATGGGCAGTGTTGAGTCTATGGGCAGTGTTGAGTCTATGGGCAGTGTTGAGTCTATGGGCAGTGTTGAGTCTATGGGCAGTGTTGAGTCCATGGGCAGTGTTGAGTCCTTGGGCAGTGTTGAGTCTATGGGCAGTGCTGAGTCTATGGGCAGTGTTGAGTCTATGGGCAGTGTTGAGTCTATGGGTAGTATTGAGTCTATGGGTAGTGTTGAGTCTATGGGCAGTGCTGAGTTTATGGCCAGTGTTGAGTCTATGGGCAGTGTTGAGTCTATGGGCAGTGTTGAGTCTATGGGCAGTGTTGAGTCTATGGGGCAGTGTTGAGTCTATGGGCAGTGTTGAGTCTATGGGGCAGTGTTGAGTCTATGGGCAGTGTTGAGTCTATGGGCAGTGCTTAGTCTATGGGCAGTGTTGAGTCTATGGGTAGTGTTGAGTCTATGGGCAGTGTTGAGTCTATGGGCAGTGTTGAGTCCATGGGCAGTGTGAGTCTTGGGGCAGTGTTCAGTCTATGGGCAGTGTTGAGTCTATGGGCAGTGCTGAGTCTATGGGCAGTGTGAGTCTTGGGGCAGTGTTGAGTCCATGGGCAGTGTTTAGTCTGTGGGCAGTGTTGAGTCTATGGGCAGTGTTGAGTCTATGGGCATTGAGATATATGGACACATCTTCGGGATGTGTTCATCCAGCAGTAGATTGACAAACATTGTTTTACCCAAACTTCTCCGGGGTATTCTGCCGCGGTGCAGCGGTCATCGCACTGGACTTGCCATCCAGAGATAGTCGCCTCGATTGAAACAATGGGAACGTTTTGTGAATCTCCCGTTACCCCCCCCATCCCCCGCCCGCGTCTATGATGACCACCCAGCAGTCGACGTGGCCTCACCACAGTTAGTGGATCGGCAGGGTTGGTGTGCGGTGGGGTAACTCCCACACCCTGCTACCAAGACTGACAGGCCAGGCTGTTGCTGCGATGATCGCACACCCGAACGGAACAACAGGGCCACAATGCGCAGAGAGAGAGAGGGGGGCACGCACCGAGCCAAGATCAGACTCGCGGCGAGGCTCGTGACGGCCAGGGACACCCTCTGGCGGGACGCCTGGACCCCCAGTGTGCCCCCCACGGTGCCCCCCACGGTGCCCCCCATGGTGCCCCCCACGGTGGTGGGTGGGTAGTGGGTGGTGGGTGGGTAGTGGGTGGTGGGTGGTGGGTGGGTGGGTGGACGTCTTCACGGAGCTTATGCTCCTGGTTCCTGTCTTCTCGCCCTGGCTGCGACATCAGCGCGGCTGATGGCTGCCCAGATGCGGCCCAAATTACAATAGGAAGCAGCAGCAACAACAACAACATTAACACCAACTGATACAAAGTGGAAACGATTTTTTTTGTTACAACAAAAAGACGTCACTCGAGCGATGCTAATCTCGACTTGTGCAACTTTGCTGGCCGTACCATGTCACTGTTAACGAGTGCTGGAGGTGCCAGGGCACTCTCTCGGGGCTCCTCAGGGGCGAGGAGGAGCGGGGCCATTACAGGGGCTGCGCCTTCACCTCGAGCGGAGGAATCCCCGGCGCCACGTCACCGCCACGCGCTCGGACGAGACCAACTGTGGGGTCGGGGTGGGGTGGGTTAACATTTTTTTGTTACAAACGAAAGTTTTACACATAATAACTACGCATTTATCATCACATTTACGCCGCAGTTAAAAGTCTACGTATGAAATTGACGCAACGGAATGTCCCTTTGTATCGCTTAAACAAAGGGGTATCGACAACAGCTACACTGTGAAGTGATTCTAGCATCCAAACTCCGGCCGACCCCCTTCAGGACTGATTAACAGTAACATGGTACAGCCCCCAAAGTTGCAAAAGTCGTTCCTTGGATCTCTGGAGTGAATTTTTAGTTGTAACAAAAACATCGCTTCCACTTTATTGTTGCTGCTGCTGCTGCTTCCCGTTATAATCGAGGCAGCCACCAGCCACGCCGATGTAGCAGCCAGGGCGAGAAGACAGGGCACCTAGGAGCACACGCTCCGTGAAGACGCTCACCCACCCACCACCACACACGCGGAGCGGGCGATGGCTGCGTCTGACGATTTGCGGCAGCGGAGGAGAGGAACGGCAGCGGCAGACTCCCCCGGCCGGGGGGGCACCGCGGGGGGCACCGTGGGGGGCACCGCGGGGGGCACCGCGGGGGGCACACTGGGGGTCCAGGCATCTCGTCGGAAGGTGTCCCTGGCCGTCACGAGTCTCGCCGCGAGTCTGATCTTGGCTGGGTGCGTGGGCCACCCCCTCTCCCTACCCTCCCTCTCTCTCTCTCTGCGCATTGTGGCCCTGTTGTTCCGTTCGGGTGTGCGATCATCGCAGCAACAGTTTGGTCCGTGGAGGTGAATGTCAACAATGTGGAGGCCTGCCGCTCCTGCCGGCCGCAGCGAGAGAGAGAGAGGGCTTCACAAACTCGCGTCGCTTCGCTGTCCCTCCTCCTCTGAAGGGGCGCACACTCCGGTGTGGTCACGATAATGTCCACAGTTTGTGTTGCATGGCCACAATAACACAACTACTGTGACTTTAAACTTTCGTGACTGCAGGAATTCATGTTCTTAGTTCTTTCGGTAAAGTCACGTAGATAGAAAATATTTTTTTTATTAAATTAAAAATAAGAGCAAAAAACCCACGACGTTTCGATCGTAACCCAAGCGGTCTTCATTTTTATTAACTATCTACGTGACTTTACCGAAAGAACCAAGAATATGAATACAACGACTGGCCTGCCTTCAATACATCTCCATGGTTCCCTACATCTCTATGCGAATTCATCTCTATGTGTCTCTGTATTTGTATGTATCTATGGATCTCTACGTATCTCGGCAAGTCTCTGCATCTCTACGTGTCCCTGTGGGTTTATCCGATACGATCCAAAGTTCGGGCTACATGGCCAGAGTCGCACTACTCAGTGGTTCGGCTTTAATGCACCTCTACGTGTCTCTATGTGTCTCTACGTGTCTCTATGTGTCTACGTGTCTCTACGTGTCTCTATGTGTCTCTACATGTCTCTATGTATCTCTATGTGTCTCTATGTGTCTCTACGTATCTCTATGTGTCTCTGTGTATCTCTATACATCTCTACCTACGTGTCTCTACGTGTCTCTATGTATCTCTGTGTCTCTCCATGGGTGTGCTCCACATCGTCTGTGGTTCGGGTTGCATCGCCAAGGAGGTCGCCACGTGGCGGCCTCGTCGACGATGACGTTCTGACGACGTTCTGATGACGTTCTGATGAGGTTCAATGGGATCCACCAGCGGTGACCCGAAGGCAGAAAGAGAGGAGACAGAGACACCAACCCTCCCGATTTAATCGAATTGCTGCCCAATTGTTCACAAACAAAAAACATCCTTTAGCGCATTCCGGTTTTTCAAAGAAAAGTATTTGTTTGGTACTCAGACGCAATGCACCTACAGGGAACACACACGGTGTGGCACGCGTGAACACGCGGTGTGGCACGCGTGAACACGCGGTGTGGCACGCGTGAACACGCGGTGTGGCACGTGCGAAACACACGGTGTGGCACGAGTGAAACACGCGGTGTGGCACGCGTGAACACGCGGGGTGGCACGCGTGAACACGCGGGGTGGCACGCGTGAACACGCGGTGTGGTACGCGTGAACACACGGTGTGGCACGCGTGAACACGCGGTGTGGCACGCGTGAACACGCGGTGTGGCACGCGTGAACACACGGTGTGGCACGCGTGAACACGCGGTGTGGCACGCGTGAACACGCGGTGTGGCACGTGCGAAACACGCGGTGTGGCACGCGTGAACACGCGGTGTGGCACGCGTGAACGCGCGGTGTGGCACGCGTGAACACAGTTGACCGCATTACGTGGCCTCGCGCGGCCAGCGTCTTAGCCGCCGCACTTCTTGGGCACCGAATTCATGGGACGCCAGCGCGTTCCACGAATTCCCTCCCCCAACGCCACAGTGCTCACGGGTGCTTGTGCGTCTCTCCAGCACGCCTCACCGCCCTGGCCATTGCGGTCCCCAGAGGGGGAGGCACCAGGACCCCGTTTGATGTCAACTCGCCCCTCGTGCTCTGTCCGCGGCTCTCTCTACGTGTTGCTGTGGAGAAGCGTCATTGTCTGAAACGTCGCCTATTTTATATATAGATGCGCTTCGGTGACCGTCTGGAACGCTCTTTTTTAAGATATTAAGAAACTACTGGAGCTATACATTTCTGAATAATTTAAATTGAAAACTAATTTCTTTAGAACTTCTTTTTGTGTTAAGTTTGTTGTCCTCTCCCTGCACGTTCGATTATCTCGGTTGTCTGTGTACGGTGCGAAAGAAGTTCATCATACAGACATGTCCCCCCCCCTTGTTAAGGCATTGTTGTACTGCACCTTTATGTCACCACGTCAATGCCTGCCCCCCCCCCCAACTCCTCGCTCTCAGCAACTCCGACTGACCTCTAACGGTGTTTGCTTTGTAAACATGGTCAAACAATTGCCACAACCCATGCACGCTATGGATTGTCTGAGGATGGCTCTAAGCTGGCAGTGGATTGACAAACGGGCCGTGTGTTTGTGTGCACGGGGCGCTGAGCGGTGACAATGCGTGATATCTCACTGGGCCATGACATCGCAAATGTTCGATGTACGGTTTGATTTTCAACAATGCGTGTTCAGCAACGGCTCTTCTTCATAGCACGGGCACTTTTTTAACGTGCCATGAAGAAAGGGGCATTGCCCGAATCGTCGCCGATAAACTATTCTCTTCACGGAGCGAGCATCTCGGTGACCGCCCCTTCACTGCCATCTGCGAATCGCAAAGTAACAGCGAGTATCAGAGCGTGCGCGGCAGTGCGCCCTTGGACAAGGCGAAGTGAGAAAGAGAGAGCTTGGGGATTGCATTCCCATTCATCACTCGCCCATCGCAGCGAACGACTGACACAACGTGGCCACGTGACGCGGTATAGGAAAGCGGCGCCACGCGGCCCTCCCGCCGCTCCGCTGCACCGACCCCTGACCTCGGCCAGGGGTCGGCAACCTGCGGCTCCGGAGCATCGCTGCTCTTGAGATAGCCAGCTTCCTGGCGAATTCGAAACAAATGTCTCTCCTTTTGATTCTGGCTTGCCGACCCCTGACCTGGACAGAGACCATGCTTCCCGCAGAAAGTGCTCCGTGGGACAGCCGCACACCGTCGTTACGACGCTGTTTCTGAGCGGTCGACGACTTTCTTGAGCTGCGCGCTGAGCGGTGTGGTCGAGTCGGCGGAGTGACGTCATCTCGGTTCTTCGCCCCGCCACGGGATAACTGTAGGCTGAGTTCATGGTGCAAATGTGATTCAGTGATGCAGAACCGGGATGATCGGAGTTGCGAACCATCGCTACGAACCCGGCGACCCGGGTTCGATTCCCGCTCACGGCCAACACCAGCGACGATTATCTGAACTGGTCCTAGGCCTCCCCTAGGGCGACTCGGCTTCAAATGAGTACCTGGTACGGTGTGTAAATATCGCCACTGTGGAGACAAAGGCGGCCGGGCGTGGTGCCCACCACCCACTCCCTCGTGTGCCTTGCCAGCCTTCATAGATGCTCGCGAACAGCACTTGCCCCAACAGTCTGCCCGGGCTATACGGGGGTTCTTTGTTTTGTGTCTGTGTGTGCAAGAGGGCAATCATTGCCGATTTGGCGTGAACGCACCATCTCGTGTCTACCTTCACCGATTTGGGATTGGAATCTTCTGCCGTATAACTACGCAATGCCCCGATTCACAAATACTAAGGAGACATCACAGCGATGATGATACACTACTACTACTACTGTGCTACTCCTGACGCGGTTCTCTGGGCTTGACCACCTGAATGTGAAGTCGTAGTCGTTGCTCTGCATCTACATCAGCGGCCTTACGACAAGACGAAGAGAGATGGGAGGGGAAGAGTTGGACAGGCGTGCTAAAAACCAATAAACTAAACTGTGACATTTTGACGTAAAGCTTTCGTGACTGCAGTAATTCATATTCTTAGCTCTTTCGGTAAAGTCACGTTGAAGGGAAACAATAAAATAATAAAATATATATAAAACAATAAAAATTCTCACGACGTTTCAACTATAACACAAACGGTCATCATCAGGTGTGAAAACCAACGGCAAGAAACATTTGAAAGAAGTGGCGGTTTGCATTTATTTATTTTTAAACGGTGCTTGTATTTATTTTTTATAAAACGTCAGCGCCACGCGCAGCGATTTGGCAGTTTGTTTAGAAGGACTAGTCCATCCATGTTCTGAAAAGAGGAGGGGGGAGACGAAAAATTAAGGTATGCTGTCTGAAAGCCACTGTAAGCGTGAACAATCAATTAAGACCTGAAATGGTTTATCAAATCCTTCCAATGATTGCTAAGCCAGAATCCATCTTCTCGGTTGAAATTGTCTCTGTGTTTGTATATGTGGATAGCCTCATGAACGAATCTCTCATGGTAGCCAGATGGCTTACAAAGAACCTCTGTCTTGGAGAAGTCAATGTCATGTGAGCCTACTGAATTATAACAATGATCTGCCACGGCTGAGGTGTTGGTCCTACTGTGTTTAAGGTCTGCTTTGTGTTCACGAATGCGGTCCGAGACATGTCGTTTGGTTTCTCCAATGTAACTACTACCACAGAGGCAACTTAGTTTTAGACACCAGGGTACTGTATGTCCGGAATCACATCTTTTACAGACGGAACCAGATCACGGATTTTGTGTAATGTGTTGAAATGGACCTGGATCTTGTGTTTATTCAAGATTTTGGAGATCTTTTTTGTGATCCCCGCAATGTAGGGTAAAGTGATGGTTTTGAAAGGCTCCTCAAGAGGGTCCTTCTTCATGGTTTAAGTGATAGCTTTGGGAATTGTATGGTTAGAGTAACCATTAGCCTTAAGAGCTTGGTGTACGTGCTTGAGTTCACTGCCTATGTGTTCCTGGTCGGATATGCATTGGGCTCTATGGTACAGAGTCTTGATGAGAGAATTCTTCTGTGATGGATGGTGGTGGGAATCCGGTTTCAGATAAGCATCCGTATGGGTAGCTTTCCTGCAGACAGAGTGGCTCATTGAACCATCAGGTCTCTTTTTTATTAGGACATCCAAAAAAGGTAACTTGCCATCTTTTTCGACTTCCATGGTAAACCTGATGGCTGGGTGTATGGAATTGATGTGGTCGAAGAATTGGTCTAGAGCAGGCCGGCCATGTGGCCAGATGACAAAAGTGTCATTCATGTACCTCTTCCATAAGGTTGGGCG